AGTAAATCACGATATATATATATATATATATATATATATATATATATATATATATATATATATATATATATGTGTGTGTGTGTGTGTGTGAAATATAGTTTTAAAGTGTGCTATATTTATGGGATAAAGTGCTCAATGAGATAGAGCGTATGTAAATATAAATATAAAATGAACATTGAAGTCAACACTCAGGCCGCCTGACGAATGCGTCTAGCCAGAAACAGCCTGTCGCCTCTGAGTGTTGACTTCAATGTTCATTTATATATATATATATATATATATATATATATATATATATATATATATATAGAGAGAGAAGACAATCAGAGAGAATAATGTTTTTTTTTATTTATTAATCCAACATATTATGTATCACTTTAAACGTTATTTTTAATAAATACTCATATTGGGTAGATGAAAATGAACAGAGTGTATAGAATAAAAGAGGCGCCTACTGAAATATGGGTATGCACCAAAAATAATGTTTAGATTGATAAAAATACTTTCTGACATTCTCTGCAGGTATGTGTATACACACACACACACACACACACACACACACACACACACACACACACACACACACAAACACACACACACACACGCACACACACACACACACAAATATGTGTTGTTTTGGTTTAACGGTATATCAATTCCTTTATGCGTCATTTAACACCGAAATTTAATTTTCTTGGGAGCTTTTAATTAATAAACATATGATATTTGTTATTCTGCTTTCACAATTGAATACATGGTAGATGATATTCAGTTTTTGTGCACATACATATTTGTGTATCCCCCTACACCATTATTATCCCATCCCTAACTTCTTACAAAAATATTTTCTGGATTTAAATAACCTGGAAAAAAGTTCATAAGCCGTGAAAAAACAAATCAATATATATATATATATATATATATATATATATAGAGAGAGAGAGAGAGAGAGAGAGAGAGAGAGAGAATTTCAAGAAGCGTATCCTTATACATGCACTTGCACATAGCTACAAAAAAAAAACACTCCGAAAGTAATACTCCCTATTTATTTTCAAAAATCTAGCAGCGTCATTGACCGTACATTTTTTCGGCACACTTTATTCCGTTGATTGTATTCTGTGCAAAACTGCTGGAAACTCTACTGGATGGCTTTATCCATCGCCTATGCTCTGATCTAATGTTTGGCCTCCATATTAAGCGATGATGGATGTCAATACGTATAATGCTTTCAGCCTGCAGAATTGACACACTTCTGCCGGGTGTGGCCTTTAATGCCTAACTATAGTTTCCTGTATGAAAGTTTAAAAAATGTTCCGTTCGCGGAAAGTATACACATGCAACTAATACATGGCTCTGACGTCGTAAGTCAACATACAGAAGATACTGTTCTCGTGTGTTTGTGTGTGTGTGTGTGTGTGTGTGTGTGTGTGAGAGAGAGAGAGAGTGAGTAAGATACAAAGATTATGTTTTGCCAAAATAAGAAATAATTACCGATATTTCTGGAAGACAATGCTTTTACGGCAAAAGGACTTTGTAAGTAAATTCTCCTGATCAAGCAATAGAGAAACAATAACAACAAAATGAAATGTTCCGTTAACAGTCCGCAATCTGAGTTTGTCGGAGATTGAATCCACTCATCAGTGGGCTGATAATAAAACTCAATTTATATACAGAAATCATAATCTTAAAAAGCGTTACTTAATTTTCCCTTAATTTTATGGACACATACTCTCTCTCTCTCTCTCTCTCTCTCTCTCTATATATATATATATATATATATATATATATATATATATATATATATATATATATTTAGGCAGCAAATTATCTTTCAGTTATGCCTGATTGAATAAATTAAAAACCATTATGTCTGCTTATTTTTCTCATAATCTTTCATATTTTTTTCCGATATACAATTAAATATGGCATAAATGCACTGCAGCAGTGAGAATCACTCCTATTTCCCAAGTACTTTCCATTTCTACCCATTACTGATTTTTTTTTTCCATTTGCGGTCAACTGTTCAGGCTAACAAAATTTAGCGTTCAAATATATAAATATTGGATAAATATTCACGTTCTAATGTAATGCACACACACACACACACACACACACACACACACACACATATATATATATATATACATATATATATATATATATATATATATATATATATATATATATAGAGAGAGAGAGAGAGAGAGAGAAACAGAAAGACAGACCGCCAGACCAATTCAATCGGTGGGTTTGAACTGTATGGATAAAACCGAATTAGCGCTGTGATTTGTTGTTACGTTTTTGAATATATAATTTCTGAGCCTGCGTGCATCTCTCTCTCTCTCTCTCTCTCTCTCTCTCTCTCTCTTCCTCTGCATATATATATATATATATATAATGACAAATTTTTCTAAATTTGTATGTAGTCAACTTGGCAAAGTACAATGGAGTATCAACTGATTAACCGGAAACTTCACGAAATTGGTATTGGGTTAATGAT